ACTTGTTTTGCAAAAGGATAACTAGGCATGTCTCGTAAAATACTCCATCTCTTTTTCCATACTCCAAAAGTGCGTTCAATAACACTTCTAAGGGAAGAGTGTGCATGATTGAATACCTCTTTATGACCCATCGGTTGAACACCCCTACGAAAATCAGGAAGATGATATCTTTCACCTTTATATGGTCCTATCCTAAGTAGCCTCTTATTTGTGGGTATCCCGCATCTACCAGATAATATTTTCCTAAAACAAAATTTTATAGATTATTCACAATGTAAAAAAACTGAAATATAAATTATATGAATTTTTTTTCTTTAGATAGAAATAGTACCATTTGGAGGTTTAGGAAAATTCAAACTCTGATCACGTAAAGCTGATAGAAATATCCTTGTGTCATGGGCCGTGCCTTCCCATTCGACACATGCAAATATAAATTGCATGTCAAAATTGCATGCAGCCATCACATTTTGGGTAGGTATCCCTTTTCTACCAATAAATGGTATTTGATTAGAAGGAGATACTACAGCTTGCACATGAACACCATCTATAGCACCAATACAATCCTACAAGTGATAAAAAGACAAACATAATATTAATTATAACATAATAAAACATAGACAAATATTTAATAGTATATGTAATAGTTACCTTGAAATGAGGCATATATCTAGAATCCTGTAGGATTTCCTTTGGAGTGTTGTTAAACGCATTTTCCAATGGTTTAATTACATCCACAGCCAAACGACATACAACATCAAGTAAGATACTAAAATATCTGCTCACAGTCTCACCAGAATGTTGAAGGCAATCATGTGCTTGCCTATTTGCAGAACCATGTCCTAAGATGTTCAGGAACATCCCTAACATTTCAGCATCACTCATTCTTCTTGAACCCTTTAATCCATAATTATTTTGCAATTCATCACACAATCTTATAAATATATATTTGTCCATCCAGATTTACAGTGCGTTCAATAACACTTCTAAGGGAAGAGTGTGCATGATTGAATACCTCTTTATGACCCATCGATTGAACACTCCTGCGAAAATGTAATAAAGTATTCCATTAAAAATAAATATATTGTCAATAATATGGTTATAACAAAAATTAAACTAGTCCTAAACAAGCAATCATATACATTTCTAAGCAGATGAACTCATTAAACTTGCGGCTATATTATTTCTCAATGCCTCCATTTCTTGTGTTACAGGACCATCTTCTTGTTGTGCATCAACCTCTCTCTCAATCTCTTCATCTTGAGTACCATTTAGGTCATCTTCACTTTCATCAAAATGACAATCACGTTTGGCATGTCTTCTTATATAGTTATGAAGTGCCATGGTTGCAATAACTATTTTGACTTGTTTTGCAAAAGGATAACTAGGCATGTCTCGTAAAATACTCCATCTCTTTTTCCATACTCCAAAAGTGCGTTCAATAACACTTCTAAGGGAAGAGTGTGCATGATTGAATACCTCTTTATGACCCATCGGTTGAACACCCCTACGAAAATCAGGAAGATGATATCTTTCACCTTTATATGGTCCTAAGTAGCCTCTCATTTGTGGGTATCCCGCATCTACTAGATAATATTTTCCTAACACAAAATTTTATAGATTATTCACAATGTAAAAAACTGAAATATAAATTATATGAATTTTTTTTCTTTAGATAGAAATAGTACCATTTGGAGGTTTAGGAAAATTCAAACTCTGATCACGTAAAGCTGATAGAAATATCCTTGTGTCATGGGCCGTGCCTTCCCATTCGACACATGCAAATATAAATTGCATGTCAAAATTGCATGCAGCCATCACATTTTGGGTAGGTATCCCTTTTCTACCAATAAATGGTATTTGATTAGAAGGAGATACTATGGCTTGCACATGAACACCATCTATAGCACCAATACAATCCTACAAGTGATAAAAAGACAAACATAATATTAATTATAACATAATAAAACAAAGACAAATATTTAAGAGTAACATATGCAATAGTTACCTTGAAATGAGGCATATCTAGAATCCTGTAGGATTTCCTTTGGAGTGTTGTTAAACGCATTTTCCAATGGTTTAATTACATCCACAGCCAAACGACATACAACATCAAGTAAGATACTAAAATATCTGCTCACAGTCTCACCAGAATGTTGAAAGCAATCATGTGCTTGCCTATTTGCAGAACCATGTCCTAAGATGTTCAGGAACATCCCTAACATCTCAGCAGCACTCATTCTTCTTCAACCCTTTAATCCATAATTTTTTTGCAATTCATCACACAATCTTATAAATACATCTTTGTCCATCCTGAACATATTATGGCAACGACTTTCATGTCCTTATAACACTTCCATCAACCGAATATTTCCTGTATGATGGTCATTCATACATGGGGTCTTATGGATATATTTCACGTAATAAAGTTCAATAAGACGGACAGTGACATGTATAATTTGGTTGATCTCCTTTTCATCTTCTGGAATGGACATGTTCTAAAATAGCCTGTAAATATGTTTGTTTCCTTCAAAAGTCATTTTCACTGTGCATACATGTTTATATAACATAAAATATAATGACAAGAATTAAAATATCACTCACAAATTCAAATAAAAGATCATCACTCACAAATTCAAATAAAAGATCATCACTCACAAATTCAAATAAAAGATCATCCAACACAAAAAAAATTAACAAAACATAAATTAAAGTCACCAAACTAGCAAATTCTATCCTGCAGCTAACTCATGTTTAAGAAATTGAAGCTTGAGGTTAGGATCTTCCATGACAACAAACATCTCTCTCTTCTCTTAAGCACAAAACAGTTTAGCTGCAAACCACCACAACTTGCTACCACGCTCTGCCCTAGGTAAAGTTGCAACATCTTTCATCACTTCAGCAATACAAGTTCTTTGTGAAACTGTATTAGCCATTGATGTTCCAGTACTCCTACTCTCAACCACATTAACAAGACGTTCAATTTGCTGTGATAATTTTGCAGCACCACCCATTTTTCCCCCTCCTTTACCTTTCTTCTCATTATTATCTTGAATTTCAAGTGATTGATTAGTTCTCTTTTTTGGCACATTGTTTGTAGTGTGAGTGGTTTCAATTGGCACAGACTCATTCGATCCATCATTAACTTCAAGTGGATCGACATCATCATCACTTTCAACTGGAAGTACACCAGATGAAGGTGCCCAAGAATGCTTACCCGTGGCTGTGACGTTCAAAAACATCCTATCTAACTTCTCCTCCATCTCAGGACTAATACCCTCAAATTGGAATTTTGCATATTTAGGTTCTACCTGAATTATGGAATGTATAAATATTATAATGAATTTTTAAACATTGTTAAAAAAACATGAATATCAATAATATAATAAAACAATAACAAAACATTCAAATACCTTAATTTTATCTTGCCAGCATTCATCAAATGCATCAACGGTATTCTTAGCAACATTCCACAAAAGACTAGTTTCCTTTCCTTTTAGATCTTTCCATAATTTCCTTTCTTTTTTTAGTAAATCCCACTTGTTTTTCAATTGTAATTTTTCATACGATCTTCTTATCTCTTTACTAATATTTGTAACCAACCTTGCCCATCCAACTTTGTTAAAGTGAGTACCGGGACGATTGCCTAGATCCACCTCCTTGATACAAAGGCCAATGAAGATGGCTACAGTTTGAGCATTCCACCATGCTGACACTTTCGGGATCCACTTGCAACATTTTCAATTGTGGTGAAGTTACTATTCTTCTTTGCCATCTTATTGCAACAAAGACATTATACATAAGCACAAAAGGAAATAATAGCTATATAAATATGAGGCTAAATTTCAAAGAACAAACATTTATGAATAAAAATTATCAAAGGGGGCATTAGAACCAAAAATAAATAAATTAATAAATATGGTCATGTAACTAAAGGCTCAAAACCAAAAGAAATACAAAAGGGAACAAAAAAAAGAAGAGACCCTAAAGAAAAACTTTAACCTTAGAGGGGGGCCCTAGTTTATGAAAATGCTAAACCTCTACTTGCAGACAGAAGCTTTGGCTTTAAAGCAAGTAATTATATGGGCATCCAAGTTTCGATTATTGTCTCTAACAATCAATAACAATCAAACAAATTTTCAGTGCTTGCTTTCTCAATGCCCACAGAAAGAAACGAAAACAGAAAAAAAAAAACACAGAGAGAAATTACAACACAGCGGCAACTAGATCTCTAGCTATATAGGAGTAAGAGTAGCTCCTAAACTCTTATCGTAACTGACGCCCACAGAGCTACCTTGAATTTGACTCTCTCCCACACCTCTAACACACTTTCTTCGCTAAAATAACAAAAAATTCTTATGTTCCTTTCAAGCCAAATATTCCAGAACAGAGAATGCACTAAACAGCCCCATAAGATTTAGGCCTTCTTGCCCTTGCCAAGGGCATCCAGTTGGGAACTGATTAGGGAGAATCAATCTTTAGGAATGACCCATACAGTCTTAATCTCCTTTAAAAAGGACCGCAACAGGTTTAGAGAGAAGGGACAGTGTAAGAACAAATTATCTGTGTTTTCCTCGTGCCTCTTGCAAAGAATGCACCAATGGGGAGAATGACACGAGTATGGTCTTTTCCTCTGAATCATGTCACAAGTGTTGAGTTTCCCAAGGGAAACCAGCCAAAGAAAAACTTTAACCTTAGAGGGGGCCCTAGTTTATGAAAATGCTAAACCTCTACTTGCAGACAGAAGCTTTGGCTTTAAAGCAAGTAATTATATGGGCATCCAGGTTTCGATTATTGTCTCTAACAATCAATAACAATCAAACAAATTTTCAGTGCTTGCTTTCTCAATGCCTTAGAACCCTAGAAATTAAATACAAAGGGGAAAACAAAATAGGTAAGTAATAAAAGTAATATCAAATTTACCTCAATCTTGGGGCTTCTACACAGCGCCTGAGAAGAAACCGAGGTCAAAAGGATGGAAGAGACGTGAAAAGGAGAAGAAGAAACTGAGGTTTGGAGAAGAAGAGACGTGAATAGAGAAGAGGAACAGAAATAAAAGGGACAGATGATGTAAATTCTAAAGTTGTTAAAGGTTATTTTTGGCATTAGAAAAAATTCATTAAACTCCCAAACTTATTTCCGAGAAATCCAAAATTGAAAGAAGCTATGCAGCTGCTTCTCCAAACTAATTTGTCTGACAGCAATTAAGATCAAAAAGTGATTTTTATATTTTTTACCAAACGGGTTGGGCTTCCAAATTTTTTTCAAAAATAACTTATTACTCGAAAAAAGCAATACCAAACGGGCACTAAGGTGATATATACCGCAAGCAAGCTGGGACCTGTGGGTGCGGCAACAGCTGCTCTAAAGGGATTTAAGCATGAGTAGGAGGCTTCACGATTTGGATACCAATTAATAAGCCAAAACAATTCACACCCGATACCAACTCGACGTTGTCTTCTTCACACTCGTCTGCTTCAAACTCATCTTGCTCAACTCCTCTTATGCAATAGAAAATAACTCATTTCTTACTCCTCTCTCTCTCTCTCTCTCTCTCTTCTTTTTCATCATTGTCAAAACCCCTTATTTTTAGGTTTTAGCATTTTGGGTTGATAATTGGAATTGAAATTGGGTTTTTCCAATCGCTGGTGAGTTGTCGGCACTTCTCTCATCTGCAATCGGTAACGCCCTTGTGAAAGCCTTTGGTATTAACTCGTTGTGAAGAAAAGTGAGCACTATCTTTTAGGTTTTAGTTAGTTGAAATATTGTGGTCATGACTTAGATTGAGGTATGGGTAATTTCAAAGTGCCGTGAGGTGAAGTGGGTTTCTCACATTCATGGTTGTAATGCATTTGTTAATGGGTTCATGCAATTTTAAGTAGTGTCATGATTGTGTTGCATACTTGATTTTTGCAGGTTATGGAAGCCCAAAAAAGTGGTCAAGTGAAAGAAAAACGCAATGCCAAGAGTAGTTTAGAATACGCAAAAGTTGGCCGAGATGCATTTTTCAATTTCATGTAAGTTACACATGCATGTATCTGAAAATGGAAATGTGGTTGCTTAATATTATGATGGTTTTTTGATTAAAAATAAATGATTGACATGAAAAAGGAACGAGATGAAATGGGGTAAGTGGCCAGTGCAAAGTCAGATACTGAGGTAAAAGATGGCAACGGATTGGATCACAATTTACTATATATTTTTGTTAAAAAAGCTCTTTTGATGGTTGTTTATATTTTCAGGTAAAAGAAGAAATTGTTAAAAAGTGGAGGAAATTGAACCCTAAAGAGAAGGCGACGTATCGTTCTACCGTCAAAGGTTGAAGTGGGCAAGAAAATGAGTCAGGAAACAAGATGAGTTTTAATGACTAGATGTAGCCCGAAATGATTCCATTGTATGGTGGAAAAATTGTCAGAAGAGAAGCAGTTAACAATTAATGCTATTGGGTTTGATAACTTGTCATTTGTATCCTGCACTCGTTTACATCCCCCATTATGTAATTTTTTTATTCAAATGTTCAATTGTTATACTTCTTCCATAAAACTGCACGACAATGTCTTTGGAATAAGTGTCGTCGACTTCGGGCGTGTTATGGGTCTTAAGAACACTGGTAAGGATGTTGAACTTGGTTTAGTATAAGTGAAAAGGTGAAAGAGTTAGTGAAGAGTTTCTATGAAAATGATAAAAGAGTATTTGTAAGTGATTTAGCTGAACAGTTGGAAAAGTACGAAAATGCGGATTATGACTTTAAAGTTCGGTTTGTGATGCTTGCGCTTGACATTGTACTTTGGCCCACATCTTCACTATTAGTGACCGGGAACTATTTAACTTTCTTGACGATTCTAGGGAAGATAGAGAGCAAGAATTAGGCTAACCATGCAATCAACTTATTACGTGAAGGTGTTAGGTAATTCAGAATGATTAAAGTTGCTTATGTAAATAGGTCACTGTTTTTCCTTTAGCTATTCTATTTTGATTCAATTGTCCATGGTAGAGTATACATTGATAAATCTTTGGATCACATTGTGTCATGGGACAATAATTTGTTGTGTAAATTGATTAAATGGGTTAGAAAGCAAGGTGGGTTTGATAGTCCTACAGTTGGGGTCATTTCAAGGCGCAGTAGAACGAATGAAGTGTTCGGAGTGAACATTGAAAGAATTATTGAAGATGTTGCTATCACTTTGGAGCCAATAACACAAGTCGTGGTCAAGCGCTCAGTGTTGGAACTTACTAAGAAAGTAATGAGTAAAGTGAGCTATTTCATGAAAGAAGAATTAGCACTACATAGAGTGTGCCTCACAATGGACACTTGGACAAGTGTTCAAAACATAAATTACATGGTAATCACGGCAAACTTCATAAATGGTGATTGGAATTTGCACAAAAGAGTCTTGAACTTTTGTGTCGTTTCCAATCACAAGGGGAACTCAATTGAGAAACTCCTCGAGTCATGTTTGCTTGATTAGGATATGAAGAAAATACTAACCATCACGGCCGAAAATGCTTCTTCAAACACAAAGGCAATACATTACTTGAAGTCGAAAATGGGTCATTTGGGAAATGGTAGTCTTGTATTAGAGGGAAAGTACATGCACATTAGGTGTTGTGCTCATATTGTGAATTTGATAGTTCGTGATGGGTTGAAGAAATTGGAGAAAAGCATATTGTGCATAAGCAATGCGTTGAAGTATCTAAGATCTTCTCCCAAAAGGTTAGAGGACTTTAAGAGTTGTGTTAAGAAGGAGCAAATTGAATGCAAATGGCTTGTGGTGTTGGATGTGCCAACTAGGTGGAATTCCACATATGTGATATTGTAAGCCGCTTTAAAGTTTGAAAAAGCCTTTTGGAGAATGGGAGAAGATGATGAAGGCCCATATATTTCTTGGTTTGGTGAAGAGGAATCGGTTCTCGAAGATGAGGTGGTTACATCTCATTACTCTAAAAAGAGAGAAGGGCCACCAACTAATGAAGATTGGAATAATACTCGTACCTTTGTGAATTTTTTAAAGGTATTTTATGCTACTACATTGAAGATGAGTGTCACTTTGCATCTCGCTTCCCACACCACATTTCACGACTTGATTGCAATTGAATAAGAAATTGAGGATTTGTTGATGGAAGATGAGGAAATATTAAGTGAAACCCAAACCTCCAAGGTTTTGAAGGATATGACACTTAACATGAAGATGAAATTTAAAAAGTATTGGGGTGACCTTGATAAATTGAACCAAATTTTGATGGTTGCCCTTGTTCTTAACCC